ATATTGCAAATATCTTTCTGATAAAATTCATTAAATTTTAAATATTGAAAATTAAAGTTTCATCCAAATAACGATTGTAATTAATTTAATAAAAATTATTGAATTATTAATGAAAAAATAAGAGAAAAATTTAAGTTCTAATATATATATATATATATATATATATATATATATATATTCTTCAAATTAAAAATTATCACTATAAAAAGCACAATAAAAATTTTTAAATCATATATTATTACTATGCCTAAGTGACAAAGTTGTAAAAAGTAAAAAAAGATTATTTAGTTAGGCAATAAAAATTTATGTCGAAAGATTTTTCTACTTTTATCATTATAAGTTAAATGATGAATTCGAAGACACGTCACATCCAAGATGTGTGACTTATAAAAATAGCTGAACAAGCTGCCATTTACAATCTGCATATTGCAGAATGTAATGAGATTCTATTTCCTTTACACATGTGTGTGTAAAAATTGCACGTGTGCAAAAATCTTCGATTATCATTCGATGAAAATTATAAATCAAATAAATTTTCTGTTCATTTTTCATTATTGTGATCATTTTAATACGAAATATATATTTTGTAATAAAAACTTATAATTATCGTTTAATTTTTTTTTCAAAAAAAAAAAAAAAAAAAAAAAAAAAATAACGAAACAATCATAGATTATGTATGTAATTATCAGTACTGGTTTTATATAACTTTTGTACTAACATGTATTTCCATATGTGCTTATATTTTATTATCGTAGTTATTTTTGGATCATTTGATATTATTGCCAAAATAAACTTCATCGATAATATGTCATAATTCTATTTTTAAAGATATGCAAATTATTTATTTTTTATACTGATGATAACTTTTTTATCATTGCATTCTTAAAAATAAGACAAATTTTCTTTTTTAGACAACAACAACTATACTTTTCGATTAAAATTTTCAAAATTCAGAATTTTGCTTCTTAACATTTCAATTTAAATTTAAATAAAAAAAAATAAAAATGAAAGAATAAAAGTAGAGGCTCTGTTTGAATTTTTAATTTTTTATATAGATGTATTTATACTTTTTTGTTTGATTTATTTCAAGAAATACTGTTATAAAAATAAGTCAATTAGAGAAACAAGTATTTTTATTCCTATAATGATAAAAACGTGGGAAAAAAAATCAAATTGGAAGAAAAAAAGAAATGTATTTATTTTTCTTATTGCGTAAACATTTGCAAGCACATCTTTTTAGATTGAATCTCGATTGATCGTATAATACATTCCTTATTATTATTCAGATAGAATAACGTTTAGAATGTTAAATAATGAAATAGCCGATTTGCATATTGAACGCAGAATAATCTGCCTCCAATTCGACTCAAAAATAAATTTACGACTATTATTCATTGACTGTGCTGCCCACGCTCCTTGTTTTCCTTCGATTTTAAACATTTGTGTAAACAAATTAACTCCATACCATTCTGGCACAGACTTTTTTTCCTCGTTCGATAACGGTGTAATTAAAATGCTTCTTTTTTTTTTTTTTGGATATTTTTTTGATTTTTTTCATTTGTTTCTTATGTGATTTTTACAAAATATTTATATTCAGATATGTCTTATTTAGTGAAAGATATCGAGAATAAATAGTAATAATTGTTTGAAAAAATAATTTATCTTGTATGTGTGTATTGTATAATGAATATTTCTGAATAAATTTCAATAAAAGAAAATGTTATTTATAAAGCTAAAAAAAAGTAAGTAAACCTTTTAACTACATAAAAATATTTAATTTTTGTTTCTTATACTTTGTATCATCATTTAGTATTCCATTGCAGAAAAATTTTTAATATGTATATATTTTTTATTCTTGTATAAAAAGGCAGAAAAAAATCTTATTTATTTACATGATTACTTAATTATAATTTATGCTTAACATTATGAACTTTGTTTATGTGAGCCAATAGAAATATATTGCCGTTTACTATTCATGAATAAATAAAATTCTTATGAATTTTATATGGAATTCCAATTGCAAAAAAAAAAAAAAGAAAAAAAGAAAAAGAGATGAAAATAAAATTATCTTTTTCCCGTAATTTCATGCAGCAGGAAAAGATTATAAATGAAATATTGTAAGTTTTGTTAATACAAAAACGCACAAGAACTCAATTTCAATGAACTCACGTGCAGTGATTTTCGGACGATTCAAGGTAAAAAAAATTACGATTAATGAAGAACGATTTTAAAATAGAATAAAATTACCGGAAGTTCAAAGTTTTAGCATATCTGGTAAATAAAATACAAAGAGAATCAATTTACATTTTTGTAGATAAATCTTTCCTTTTTGTTTTTTTTTCTTTTTATCAAAATACATAAGACTCAACTTTGAAGTAACAACAACGAAAAACAAAAAAGAAATTACCATTTTCTAATATTAGAAGTTAAGAAGGAAAAAAAAAAAAAAAATTAACGAAGAAACTTTCTGCGTACTCAAATAAATCTTGTCCATCGATTTCAATATCTGTGCATAATTATTCTAATGATTTTAGCAACAAAAAAAAAGATATAGCTCAATAAGAAATATTATTTTGTAAAACAATCAGATTTATAAATAGCTTGTAATTGTGGATAATAGCATGGATTTATAAATGGAATTATTTTCCTTATCATTGAAAAAATAGCGGTATTAAATAATTTCGAAAATTTAATTATGATACTTATGTATGTATGTATTAATCTTGTTTAATGTAATTTAAATATTAGCAACATATTAACATTTTATATTTTATATTAAGCATATTTTAATCAATTTAAAAGAACAATACGTATTTGAAAATGTTTTAAAATTTAAACATATAATTTTCATATTATGAAAATTTTTTAAATTTATAACAGAAGTATAATTCAATGTTTCTAATTTTCAACATCTTGAATCTATTTTACATTTCAGTATTATAAATCATAGATTTTTTTTTTTTAGAAAAGTTTTTCTCAAAGGAGATTTATAACATAGTTTTGGTAATATAGATTATATGAAATTTAAATGTTCTAATTAAAAGAAAAAAAAAAAATACTTTCTGAAGAATTTCAAAGCATATTTATAATTTTATGGTGAAATCGAAATTGAAAGACAAATTTATTTTGCTAGAATAAAAGATTCATAGCGATAATAATAAAGAATCATATCCATAATAATAGGAATCAACGTAAGTACTCCAATTAACTCGTTGAATAGGCTTTAAATAGGTATTGCTCCATTTAAAATTGTAACATGGTGATATCAGAAGTCAGATTCATTTCTTTACGAGAAATTGTTTAATTTTAAAAGCAACTATGTAATTGATTAAAGTGAAATCGAAATTTAAAAATTGTAATAATATATTCATCAATGTTAATTGCTAAAAAATGCACTTATCAATTCATTTTACTTACAAATCAGTTATTAATCTAATTGTTATTTATTATCTATTCTTTAAATTATACGTTTTTTTTTATATCTTAATACATACATCTTATAATTACTTTGTTTTTTTAATTTTACAAATCAGATTTCAAAACCTTCAAGATTATTAATTATATGATTTCAAGTACTGATAGGAGGATTTCCGGAAAAATTAATTATTTCTAATATCGATATTTATATAAATAAAATTAAAAAAAAAATATGATTGCAAATTCTAAACAACAAGTTGCTCCAAAAGTATATTACATAATTTTGTTTATTTTCAAAAAAGTAATCATCAATAAATACAAGAATTTAAAAACTTCTTACGAAGAACTTAGCAAGAATATCTATATTAATACAAAGAAAAAAAAAAAAAAGAAAAACAATAGACTTAAAAGCGTCAATAAAATTATCAAATCTAATCTTGGATCGAATTATAGGAAAAAGAAAGAAAAAAACACAATCAAAAGCAAATTTGAACACCATATATTGAATACCATTGATTCGTAGATAACGATCATACTTGAAGCATATGAAAATAAAGATGACGTCAGACCTCGATAAAATGAAAATATACAAAACTATGAAAAAATAAAAAATATATTCAAAATTTAATTCTTATTATTAAATCAATTACAGGATATATTAACTCGATTCTTAATACTTTCGACAAAGTTACAAATGTTTGCCAATCATTTTATGGAGAGTGCAAGCGAACAATAAAATGACATGACAAAACATCCGGTTGAAAACGGTCTAAAAAGTCGCGAAATATGGCAATGGCTGCAATAGCAAGCGGTGGAAAAGCACTGGTCCGTAGTCACATGGTGAGCACCCAGTGCAGAGAACGCGTGTACGCGTGTACTCGTCATAATAAACATGTCGGCGATGCGAGTAGTACGATAATATTCTGGCCTCTGTTAAAAATGCGTGAAATTCTACCGACTGTCGCCGAACACAACCGAACGTTAGTCGCCGATACGTCACGTGCGCTCCAAACAAACAGAAAAAAAACATATAACTATGCGCGTGCACAGCGAAAAAACGTCAAATGTTTTCGAAAACGTACTGTCGAGTTGATTTCCACATCGTATATTTCCATGTTTCTTTGCGCTTCGTTGAAAATTAGTTGTTAAATCACAGCATTAGATCAAACGCGAACACGATCGAGTAAACACGCGTACACATGCACACGCATGCGTGGCGTTAAGTGGTTAACCTGTTGCAACTTAATGCACAGCATTCTATGCTGAGGTGGTCGAAATAAACGATATTCCCGTTGTGCGATAACTTGTAATAGCTTGAATCGACTCTATGAAAATGATGCCGGTAACCCTCTGTAACGCCATGTGACTCGAACGTAACAACGTAACAATTAATACTGATTTTTGTAATCCTTGTAATATTACATCGCATTACATTGATACATCGATAGTATATTTATAGCTAATCCCTAATTTTTAAATTAGGAAACGGAGAATTATAATAGATCGGAATATCTTTTAAATTTCGGTTATAGAAGGTTATCGTGTTTAATTTGGACATTTAGAAGGGATCATGTGACACCAACCTGTCGCTCTTGTCGACGATTGTCAGCGTAGCAAGCTCTTGCAGCGGTGGTTCCGCGGAAATTCCCTGAGCCCTTTGCTTCCTGGGCCTCGGTTTCGTCGGTGTCAAGGGTGATTTAAAGGGAAGCACACTGAGGAACTTGTCGAGATGACTTCGTAATTCTTGTATCTCGGCATCGCGACGACAGAGAAGCGCTTCGAGCTCGATGATTTTCTCGTCCTTGACACGCAGCAACTCCTGCAGCTCTCGAAGGGTGCCCATCGCTGTAATCGTGGACGCTCCGGTGACGTTCGAAATGGCCCTCTGGCCGGCTGCAGCGACCACGGCCACGGCGCCGTGTGTCGGCAGCTGTGAAGCGTCCTCCTCGTCGGCGAGCCGCTGCTGCGTCGACGAGAAGCACAAAGAGTCAAAGCACACGCGCATAGACACGCAGGCGTCGCCGATCGGCACTCTGCACTTGGTACCCTCGTCCATTCAACCCGAACGAAACTGCCGCGAGAAGAGAACAGGAGCCGCGACGAGAACCACGACCCGGACAGTGCGTCGTCGGCTGCCTCTACTCCACGATTCCGCGCTCTCCAACAGCGGAGGACCAACTCCCGTGACGAGCTTCCACGGTTACGCCTGTCTCGCTCTTTCCCTATGTGCTTCGCTCTGTCTCTCTTTCTCATTCCTTATCCCCACTTTTCCACCGATAGCTTTCCTCGTTGCTCCGTAATCTCTTTCTCTTTGCTTCCCACTCTATCGATCATGCTCTCTCACTCTATACCGTTGTTTCCTTCCAACGTTACTTGTCACTGTTACTCTCTTCCTCGCTCGACCTTTCGTCTCTGTTCCTTGAATCGCCTATCTTTTTTCCCTTGTTACCTCCTCGCTGTCGTTCGTGCTCTTTATTCCTCCTCGATCGATTATCTTTGTTGCTTCTTTTGACACTTTCTCCCTTTTCTCGTCCTCTCTCTTTTCAACGCTTGGCTCTCACTTGAGCGATGTTCGTCTTACCTCTATGTTATGTATCTCTATTCCACTCTCTTCTAAAATGCAGCGCGGAGGATTCGAAGTTGGGTTGGCTCGCCTCACTTCAACACTTGCATGTATCTTTTTCTTACTTATCATTTTACGCATTTCCGTCTCTCACATTATCACGAGTCTCGATGGTAGTTTAAATTTGCTCTGGGATTGCGCCATGTACGCCACCGGCGCGCCATCTACGACATACTTCTCCGTCGAAAAGGTTGACACGAACGACTTATTTATCGGCTGTTCATATTTTTAAAATAATTATTTTTAAAAAATCTATATCAATTACAATTTTTCTATTTATTCACATACGTAGTAAAGTTATCGTAAATATATACTATCATTATTGTCAATTGTAAATAATTGTTGTATCACATTTTGTTGTATTATATTTTTATATGTTTTTTCAGATTTCTTGAGGTTTCTTTTTAAGTTCTGCTAACAATCGTTTAACATATTAATGCAAAAAGTTTTAACTCAATCATTTTTCATGTATTAATTATCTCAATTACCTTCTAATCTATAATTTTATACTTTTTTGTAAATTGCAAACAGCATTGTCTTTTATTTATTTTGGATAAAAATGACTGCATTTTTATAACACATTTCTTGCACATCACGCCACGTTGTGGCTACATGGAATAATTTTCATAAAGTGTGATTATATCTATGTCGGTAATTCAGTGTAACCATTACTAAGGCTAATAGCAGATTCTGATAACAAAATAAATTAAGCCTTTATAGATACCAAATTTCTTTGTATTTTCTTTATAATGTAATTATATATTTTTTTTAATTTATCTTCATAGTTCAAATTTCATGTTTTATGTGAAAAACATGATTTCTTATATTATATCAAAATCGATAAAATTAAATTGATATGTCATATAATTAAGCATATATATATCTTTAATAATACCAATATAAATAACGTGAATCTTTTAATACTTATTTGTCACTTGCGTAGTTTTATTACAAACCAGATTTATTACTATATTGTTTAAAAAGAGATTAAATTATTTCTGCTAATTTTTGTAAACAGGATGTGACATGTAATTATTGTGATAGTTTAAGTTTCATAAAACGCCTCATAAAACTCACGAGTGTTGATCTCGTGGTTTATATGCGTCAGATTTCTAGAGATGACGCCACGTGGTCTGCTGACCTTATTGCATTACATTATAGCAGTTATTTCGATTGAAATGATTAAAATGACAGCGATCTTGCAGCGAAGCTTCACCATCATAATATATTTAAATAGTAAGAATGTGTATTTCGTATATAAATCAGTTAATCAAACGAATATGCTGCGAGCACTGCTTTATTGAGTATGAGTAGTTGTACTAATGTAGATCGGCTCGACAGATCGTAATTCTATATTATGCATGGAATGGAATTAAACCAATGAAATTTAATACCATATTACAAATTTTAAATTTCAGAAAAATTTCTCATTACATTCAAATTCCGCATTTTCTTTTTCTTTTTCGAAAAAATTAAACATCAAAAATTCTCATTTTCCCATTCCACGCGTGTCTCAAGAAATTTAATTCAATTCAATTCATTTTAACACTTCAATTCGATTTTAACATCCATCCAGTATACCGGACCTATCCTAGAAAAAAAACCCTTTTAAAACGATACTTTTGTATGCATACAAAAGATAAAAAAAAAAAAAAAAAAAAGAGAAGAGAAAGATAGACAGAGTTAGATTAAATGGACGAAAATAAATTGGAAGAGACGGGCCCTGGGCGGCCGATCGGGCATTGTCTCTGGCGTCTCGATGACTAGTTACCGAGTTATCCCGAATCGAACGCCTGGAGGGAGAGAGTCCGGGCCGGTAATAGCTGCTGCTCGGGGAACCGTAATGTCATAATAGGATAGCGATGTTAGTAATAGCATCGCGTTGCACCGGCGTAGGCAACCGGCCGATTGACTGGTTCGCGCACAGAGGGGAAGGAGAATGAGAGAGAGAGAGGCCCAATTTGCATCGCATTGCGTGCATTCGTTACGCCTTCGTCCGCGCGGTGGCGTGGCGCGTATCGGCCATCCCGATGGCTAAACCGCTGACGTTCCAGCAATCAGCGCCCTGGGAGAACCGTGGAAACCGCGGAAACCCCTAACTCGATTATCGTTTCCGGCATCGTTATCGTTATTAGCCGCTCCATTGGTAAGCTAACCGGGAAACGGGCTTCTTGGGTCACGGTTTTGCTTCTTTTCGAGATGAATTTTTTTTTTAAAGGAAGTTTTTTTTTCTTTTTTTTTTTTTTTCATTTTGTTCGAGTTTTTGATCTGTACGATTTAAGATTAATTTGATTTGATTATACCTAAATTCGCATTGAAATTATGCGATCAAATAATCGATTAAATGTCTAATTTTTGCTTAGTCTAATAATAAAAAGTGTAATAATGTAAAACGCATATTTGTATGTTTTTAAAAGTTTCCATAAAGAGGTAATGTGAATGAGCAAAAATATAGTCTTATAGAGTAGTATAACGTTTTATCTTCCCTGTTATAATTTTTATGATTAAAGTGTCGTAATATTTCACTAAACTGTATCATAAAACAATTTATTCGTCGTTCAGGCATCAAGATGCCAACAAAGCAACATAAAAATGTAGAGGCAACATCCTTGCCAACCATTCCCCCTCGAAGGAACGACGCTTTGATCTCCCTCTTGCCCCTTGCCCCACGTCACTCTTCTTCCGGTTCCCTCGATCCATCCGCGCCCCTCAAAATATCAACTAAACGATAACCGTATTTATTATTCATTCGGCCGACTCGTTCGCTGCTTCTCTCGCGGCTCCAATTTTACAGAGTAGTTTTTCAAAGAATTTCGCGAGAGCGTGGCGGCGCATCGCGAGCAGGATGGAAGACGGTAAGATGGAATCGAGGGTGGATGAGAGATATCTCGCGTACGCGAGACACGTGGTAGATAGGTAGGAATCGGGCAGGATGAATTTGTAAAAGTTTTGCCTAGTTTTGAAATTATACTACCATCCAAAAGTTTAGAGGAGGTGATATTTTCTTTGATTAATCCGTTTATGCTCAATAATATATTATATTTATGCAAATTTCATTGTGCAAAACGTATAAGATACGAAAAATCGACGTGAAATTAAACTACATGTTTCAAGAATGATTTTTCAAATTTGCCGCGCTCGTTATCATGAGTCGATACAACAGTTATACTTATATTTAATTCTTTTTTCGTTTCTTGTTTTTAAGCAACGATTACTTTAGGAAAACGAAATTAGATGATAAACAAAATAAGAGAATTATTAATTTCGTATAAATTTTTGATGAACAATTTAATGGTTGAATGACTATTTATTCTTTTAGTTATAAAGGCGTTAACAATGCAATAGAGTGTACTGAAATTACGTGGTTTCATAGTAGAAAAGCTCTTAAGGCCTATCCGCCGTCATCCTGGAAATAATTCAATCGTCGCTAGAGGATGGCGCAGTTTCATTTTCGGAATGAAGCCATCGCGTATTATGTTTAATCTTGGCTCGCCTCGTCTTCGCTAACCACCGAAACGTCTTGGAAAGCTCAACTAGGATAACTAAGATTAGTGTCGTCCTCCTTAGTTGTGTGACAATTCATTCTGTGAAGATATTCGTAAATTGTTTCCATTCCTTTGTTTCTGACATTTTAATGCTTATTATGTTTCTTGTTTTATATCATTTTGATCTTTTCTTTTTTATATTCACACAGACTTACTTTATTTTATTTTATATTAATAATTATCAATATTCATTAATATGTGATGTTAATTATCAGTGTTCAATTTTGTTAATCTTATTTTTTGAAAGTTTAAAATTAAATTTTTTTGAATATATTATTTCTTTTTTGTTAATTATTAATAGAAATGTATATTCTTTTTTGAAATTTTTTAAAAAATATATTAATAATAATAATAATAATATTTAAATTAAATTAATTTTACATCTAACAAAGACAATTTTCAACAGTATCGAATGTTAAAGAATTAATAATTCATTATATTTAAAATATATCAAAGTTTAATGGAATCTCAAAATTAGTTTATAAGATTCTACTAAAATTGGAAAATGTTTAAATGTAGTATAAATGGAATGAAAATCAACATAATGAATATGAGCATAATATTACAAATTCGTAACTAAAATGCAAAGAGTGAAATTCAATCGTTATAAAATACTAAATTATTATAAAATTTAATTTGGCAAATTGAATGTTTAATCCATAATATTATACCTTAAGAAGTAACTCATCTTGATTCACGTACAATTTCTATCAAGAGATTTCACTCTTCTCAATTTTATTCTGAGGGTAATGCTCCCAAGTTTATCCTACCTTTACGACTCTCAGACGTCAATCCGCGTCAGAAAAAGACAGTTTACATCTCTTATATATTTTTTTTTTCAATTTCTCTCTTAAATTTCTACTTACCCCATCAATTCCTTCATCTCATATTACGCTCAACTTTCTCTTTCTATCTTTCTGCAACTAAAACAGTAAAGAATAAAGTACAAATTAACAGTTGAAATTAAATGTTATTTTTATAAAAATTATATAAAAATATATTTTTATAAATATTAA